GGCTCCGGGCGGCTCCGGGCGGCTCCGGGCGGCTCCGGGCGGCTCCGGGCGGCTCCGGGCGGCTCCGGGCGGCTCCGGGCGGCTCCGGGCGGCTCCGGGCGGCTCCGGGCGGCTCCGGGCGGCTCCGGGCGGCTCCGGGCGGCTCCGGGCGGCTCCGGGCGGCTCCGGGCGGCTCCGGGCGGCTCCGGGCGGCTCCGGGGGGCTCCGGGGAGCGGGGAGCGGAGCCGGGGGCCGCGAGCTCGCTGGGGAGCGCGGCCCTGGAGCCGGGGGGAGCCGCGCCCTGGAGCCAGAGCTCGCGGGGGAGCGCGGCTCCGGAGGGCTCGCGGGGGAGCGCGGCCCTGGAGCCAGAGCTCGCGGGGGAGCGCGGCTCCGGGGGAGCGCGGCTCCGCGGGAGCGCGGCTCCGCGGGAGCGCGGCTCCGCGGGAGCGCGGCTCCGCGGGAGCGCGGCTCCGCGGCTCCTGGCTCCGGGGGAGCGCGCGGCTCTGGCTCCCCCGGAGCGGGCTCGTGGCTATGGCTCCGGGGGAGCCCGCGTGGCTCGTGGGTGGCTCTGGGGGAGCGCGGCTCTGGCTCCGGGGGAGCGCGGCTCCGGAGCGCGGCTCTCCGGGGGAGCGGGAGCGCGGCGGAGCCCGGGGGAGCCCGCCCGGAGCCGGCTCCGGTCGCTCCGGGTCCCTCCGGGTGGTGGGCGAGAGTGGCTGTGAGTTGGTCGCTCGGGAGTGGGCGTGCCCAGGCAGGGTAAAGAGCCGGAGAGCGAGAGGGAGACGCCGAGAGAAGTGTTATTCAAATATCTATGGAAAAAACTTTATATGAAACTTAACGGTCAAAATTCTACTTGCGTCATATTCTTTTATCGTTAGATATCATTAGGTGTACCGTATCTTGGCATCAACCCACCACCTTGGATCCAGACTAGCGGCGAGTGTGGCGAATGTCTGTATCGGTCAGAGTACGCCGGTCACCAGACGCTCGAAGAGTCCAGATTTTAAATTTTATCTTCAGTGACCAGCGGGAATCGAACCTGAGTCTGTATTGGAGCCGAAACTCGCTTGGTTTTTACATTACTCTATAACTGATTTACGAAAGCGTAATTACATAGTGTGAAACTAATCAAACATGGTAATTGGTATCATGTCAGGTTGATCGTTAGATGTATTATATTTGTTTTTGTGTTCACATTATGTTTAACTAATTTCCTAGTTGATCTCCGAATTTTTCCAAGTTTTCCTCTTTTAAAACTTTTTGATCAAAACTGGTTGTCTAAATTTGGTAATATTGAGGTGTTGTTTTTTAAAAAAAAAATGGTTCTCGGTTTTTGTTTTTCAAAAAACACTGAGAGACAAGAAACCAAAACAAACAATAGCTACTTGTTTATTTTATTATTAATTTGGAATTTTTGCAATGTAGTATAAGAAGTGTTGTTATTTATTTGTTCAAATGGATGCTTGTTATGTTTGATTTGCTTTTCTGCATTAATCCTAAGCTTCAAGTCAATCAAATGCGTAATCCAACTAACGTTCTTTTTTAGCCGTCTAAGTGAATCAGATTGATACTGATATTTGCAATCAAATTGGGTTAGACTAATTAGAGAAAACTTTTTTGGTTAGAAAGCTCATATGTACTAATGTGCATGGTTTGCTAAACCACTGAAATTATCTGGTTTTGTGATTATGAATATTTAACCCAGCAGAACCCAATGAAATTGCCATAACCATCCCTAAAACTTAAAATGATTTAACCCAGCAGATTGTTCCTTATTATTAATACGTGTGTATAGTGCTTGCATCATACATGAGTCAGTGCTAAGCAATCACCAAAAAATAGAAAATGAAATTATATAATAGATATGGAAAGACAATGTTGCTTCGCTCGGCGACACAAGACAACTAACTACTAAAACCCATCAAAGATCTATAGAGAGAGTACTATAACTTGGAGCAAAAGGCTCTCGATTGCCAAATTCTTATATATAACAAAACACCATCATACTACCCTAAACCGGTCAGGGTAGTATATAAAATGTAGAGGTCATGCCTGAAAAAATATGTACTTCAACAGAACATGCTTACATAAATTTTGTATTTTTTAATTCTGGCCTAAAAAATAGCTATTTTATAAAAATATATTTTGAGGAAATGTAAACGTTAATAATTTTTTGATTAGATTTAATGTAAACGTTATAAATTTTTATTATATAGTAAGAAAATTTAATTAAATAATAAAATTATAATTTTCTATAAGAAATTTATTTGTTATAATGTTCTGATTCTATCAATTACTCTTATATTAATCTTGGTTGTTTGCTTGTATAAAAACTTTTAAATCTGTTATCTAATCATGAGAATAATTTTGTGTTAAGAGATTTAATTTATGATACTTTAACCTAAACTTTTAAAATGCAAACAACATAACCAAGCTTAATCAAGAGTAGCACAAATGCAACATTAACATTGAATTTATCATTACAACACATATACAACTCTTATAAGGATGATATTGGGATATGATCGAACCATTATAAAAAATATATCTCTTATATATAAGATTAAAATTTTGTTATTGCATTAGGTTTTATTAAATTTAATAAACAATAGTTCTAAGCTGTCAAGAATTATAAAAGTTTACATATTTTTAAAAAGAATATTTTACATATTTTTAAAAAGAATATTTTCTTAAAACAGCTATTTTATTTTATTTATTTTAACAATATTATACATATAATATCCTCATCGGTGACATATCAACTGATGTGGCGAATGGATATGATTTTTTTTAAAAAAAAACAATAGGTCTATTATTTGAAATTTTCAAAAAATACATGTATATTTTTGCATGATCATATAAATCGGATATGAATTGAACAAAGTTCGATATGTTAGGTATGGATTGGTTGTTTTTTCGTGTGGTCTCTATAACTTTTCAAACACACTATTAGCCTTTCCCCATGATTAATATGCACCAACATGGAGGTTTTTTTTTTGAATTCCCATTTGCATGCAGCCAGTGGTAACATAATCATTATTTTTCATTTCTTATATAAAAACGTTCAAATGGGTTGGATCTTGTCAGTCAAAACTCTACTCCGTTTCTACCAATAAAATGTATTGTAGTTAATAATGTCCAAGGAATGAGAAGTAAGCTGCAGTTTTATCCCAGACTAGTACATAGGCATGGGCATAAAATCAGTAATCTGAACCGAACCTGAACTGAAAAATCCGATCTGAATCCGATCTGAAATATAAAAAATACCAGAATGGGTCTTGTAAGATGATATGAAACATATCCGAACCTCAAGTATTATTAACTGAATCCGAATGGATAATCTACAAAAAACCCAAAAAATCCGAAAATATATCTGAAGAAATCGATCTGAATGTCCAAACTAATACACAATATAATTATATTAAATATAAATATATACTTCAAATATTAACTTTCATATTTATTTAGATATGGTATCGAACCATAAGTATTTAAAATTTAAATAAGTATCTTAAATATTTCATTATATATAAATAAGTACATATTTCTTATGTTTTCCTTTAAAATTTTAGATTTTACTTCGGGTATATCTGAACCGATCCGATATAACCCAAATCCGAATGATATATGGTTACTTTATGGGTTCTGTGATGTGATACAAAATCGACCCGAACCCGATGTGTTATATTCGAACCTGACCCGTAATTACAAATTTACTAGAATGGAACCTATGAGGTGGTATAATAAAGAACTGAAATCCCAAAACCCGATTTGAACGCCAATGGGTACCCGAACGCCCAAGCCTGTACATGTGGTTTTCCTCCTAACCTTAGGTATATTTGGCAAAAAGAACAGGTATATTTTATTTACAAGTCTATTGGGAAACCTACATTAACCAATAATTATAGGGTAATGATTGAATTGGGCATAAACCTATTATCTTTATTATATTGTTTCGTTGGCTTATAATTTGTGATTGTTGTATGGATAACTATTTATAATATATACACAAAAATTTGGGCTCGAGGTTTAACTAGAGTTCAGTTTGTTTAGTTTTAAAATAGTTTAAACATAAATAATTCAGTATGAAAGAGATATATTTTGGGCTCATAGCTTCTTCTCTTTTTTTTTTTCTTTTTTTTTTGCGTCTGTTTGCTTGCAAATTGGAGATGATTAATATTACCACATACAACTTGTAAGAATGATGTCATTATCCGTATCCTTTTTTGATATGTTTAAAATATTTTCCCACTAAATCTTTTCTTTTTGGGTTGTTCTGTCTTTATTACGGTACGCTTACTTCGTCGAGATCATCTAAAGACAAGAACACTTCATCCAAACATGAGAGTTCTGGCCCATCATCATCCTCTTCTTCGCTGCAGTTTTGTTCATACACTCTACATATCACCCACTTGCTATAATCCTGCACACAAACAATTCAAGCCACGAACGTACGTGGAGGTCAAATTGTAATTTTGGTTTTAGAAAATGTCAACTTTATTTTTCTTATTTTTTGAATAACAATTAAAACGTAAATTTTAAGTTGAAGATTTAATAACTTTAGACTTGAAACAAAATGGGTACTTACGGGTTTATGTGTAGAACCACGGTTTGATCTCTTAGAAGATCGACTAGAGGAATCTGGGAGGGAATATTCTTGCATGACCCAGTTAGTCTGAGAATCTACGTGATAGAAAGTTAGATACTTTTTGATGCCCACTTTCTTGTGTGTAAAGCTTGTGAAGATTGGCTCGTCTATTCCTAGTGATCCCCAATACCCATTGCTTGTCACTCTTTCTTGTGTCTTTCTACTATAGAAGTACCATTGCCTCCCTTCTTGTAATGCTTTCCCTATAATTATACATAAGCAAATTAGTTTAATTCATTAACAAATACTATATAGTCTCGAATTGGAAAAACTTTTGTTTTGCTATCCAAAGGCTTAAATCGTGTTATGGTGAGAAACTATGGATTTACTTCTACCGTATATCTGCTTAACTTTATGGTCCATCACCAAACTATATGGATAGATATATTATATGGTAAGATAAAATTTCAATAGCATGTGTGTTTGATTATATGTAGTCTACGTACATGTTTGTGTGTGTGTGATATCTGTATATGATTGATTGTGTGTGTATCATGAGATCGAATGATTGATATATGTGCACATGTACGTATGACTATGAAGAAAGCAATACTTATTATGCTTCACCAATAAAAAGTATTACTTCCAAGCGAATAAAAAGAAAATTTATTCGACCAAAAAAAAAAAATTTATTAGGTACAGATTGGCATTATTAGTGTTTTTGTATATGGTAAGATTTTGGAAACAAAACAATCCTCAAAAAGAGCAACCAAAGAAAAGTGTACTGCTAAAAAAGCGAGATATGAGTTACTTAAAGTTGGTGACAACATCAATCTCTGTCTTTTAACTTGATTATAGACACAATATATTGTCAACTCTATACATAACTTAAGAACTACACCCTCACATCCACGCATTTATATAATTAAGAATCAGATATGAACATATATGCTGCATGAAACGTATATGTAGAGAGATATGTGGGTGTATATACCGGGAAGGTCCCAAGGGTCGTATGAGTAAAGATCGAGGTCGGGAATGACGTCAGGATGACAAGGCAAGAGTGAAGCTTTGCGGTGGAGGAAGTGGACGACGAGCTCTTCATCCGTTGGAGAAAACCTGAATCCCGGTGGTAGGTTCATTGATAACGATGTTTTGATAGTAATAGTTCACATGTACATACACATAGATGTGGTTGCGTGTGTGTAGAAAAATGTTAAATATGGGGAGAGTAGATATTATAAAGAAGATGATGTGGAACCAGGTGAAGTGTGTTAACGAAATTGAGGTATATATAGGAGATACAAAAAGAAGACCAAGGAGAAGGTGGAATAGGGAATTCATATACATTTGTGTATATCATATATATATAACAGTACTCCATTGATTTATACTATTCTAAAATACTTAAATAAAAATGATTAAAGGAATAACAACAAAAGAGAATGATGGTACGTAGTGAGTAAGTGCAAGGGAACTAAAAAAAGATATGAGTAATCGATGTCAAATGGGGCATTTGAAAGCTAATTTTCAGAGAAGTCGTCGGCTTAGAATTTCGGCTGCTGTATATATTTTTCCTCTTTCTACTTTTTCTTTTTAATTTATTCCTAAAAGAAAACTTCGTGTTTCCATAGCTGATATGCCTTCTAGTAATTACGCATATACAAATTACAAATATACAATTCCATAACTAGACCGTCATAAATTATTTATGAACCATGTTCAAAAAAATATTAACTGCATATTTACCGATATAATGGAGTAGTTTTAAAAATTTATAACCCTATATATTTATCTATCTTGAAATTATTAACTCTAAATTTAATAGTATATCTAAAAATTTAGAATTTAAAATTGTAGTTTATATAATTATTATGAATTTTTTTTTAGATTCGGACCTGTTCTCCAACTTGCTGACGCTGTTAGACGGCATTCTCCATAACGCAGCAGAGACTTGGTAAGTTGTCAAATATTTGAATATTTTCAATATGGAAAAATGAGACTGAATCGCTGAAAAAAAGACTGAACAAAGGATTACACATCTGGAATTCATAACTTAATATTTTACATATTTTAATGACTAAAAAGGAGAAAGAGGCGGGTGGACAACAAGAGTTGTGCATCGTTGGATACTTCCACGCAAAAGGGTATCTTCTTGGCCACTATGAAGAATATTCTTATCCAATTCTTATTTCTTTTTTTTTTTTTTGATAACCCAGTATCCGACCACAAAGCGTGATCGACTAGCCCACCGGGCCTAAGCCCATGCCATAACAGGATTTTTAAGCGTCCACTTAAGAGCCCCTGGTTACGCTAAGTGGTCTGAAGCGCCACACCAACTCCGCATGTAAATTATGTGGTGGCCGGGGTTCGAAGTCGGGTGGCGGGCACCTCAGCCGAGGTTCCTTTACCACCAGGCTACGAAGCCCGGTTTATTTCTTCTTTCTATTTCTATATTTTACAACGATATTTAATGTTGAATCATATTCATTCGCGAGAAGTATATGACCAAATAAAAGTTATAGTTAAATAAAACAAATCAAAAGTATATAGTAGAGAAAATTGGTATGTACTTCATGTTTTCAATTTGTAAATCACCAGCCAGCAAATGTCAATCATAGTGCTCACTGTTCAGGGATTTTCATCTACGTTTTAACGACCCGTCTAGTATTTTATTAATGAAGCCCACAGTTTACGCCAACGACAAAACTTAGCTATAAACCAAAATAATGGCTATTGCATTGAAGGTCGAGGAGCTCGAGTGATGATGACACTTCATGCTGAGATCATACATCCACAATAGTCTACGTGGCGCACATGTAAATGGGTTTGGTCGTCAGCCATAGGATTATGGTGCCCACATTTGCTCTTTATTTGTACTCAATATCCTCCTCTCTCCCATTAGTATTTCACACTCAATCCTATTTTATTATTTTCGGTTGTCTATAATAATACAAGTATTGAATTTGGATACAAATACAATTCTCTTGACATGCGAACTTTTAGTTTGCAAAACAACACTTAAATTTAGATAAAAATATGGATTAATAAATACTTTTTCCTTTAATAAATAATGATTAAAATTAACAAAATAATTATTTAATTATGTATGAAGAAAACTTTAAAAGTTATCAATCTTTCTCATATGCAGCCCCCCTCGAGTAGCAATCAGTGGCTTTTGTTATTGAATTGAGATCCACACAAACTCAAAGACTGCCCAAAAGATTTGTTAGAGTTCAACTGATTTTTCTCCTTATTTGGACCACTGCTCTCTTTTTTTTACTTGAAACTATATGTTATTTATCAGCTTTAAATAATCGGCTTATTATTAATTATACTTCGAATTACTTTTATACTGTTATGATCTTCTAAAACTTACTAAAGCAATTCATCAGATGAATTTTAAAAAATGAGGGCGTAGCAGGAGGCAACCCTAATAAATTGGCTGCCCTACTCAACCTTGCTTCAGATTTCACCAAGGTCTTAAAAATTTAATATATTTTCATTAGTAATAAAACTGTGAACTTAATATTTTTATTTTATTATTATTAATAAATAGACTTTTGAATGATCTATTGCTTATGCTTAGAACATCCCAATGGAAATATCTAGTGTTAGAAATTCTCAATATATATATATATATATATTAATATTTAAATTTGAACTTCTTAATTTTACGGAAAACACAATAAAATATTTTTATGTAAAATTTTTAGATAGATTTTTTTCATAAAATTAAAAACCCAAAACTAAATACTAAAATTAATATATATTGAGAATCTTTATTGTAGGTGTTCTTACGCACCACATATCCATGCAACACGCGTGATCAATAGATCTTTGTCTCTCTTTTTTTTTTCTAAATTAGTTTGTCCTCACTAACTACCAATCAATACATTTTTATAATTCCATCATACTAGAACATTTATCATATATCTATTTCTTGTTTTAATATTAATTGCATAAAAACATATGAATAGTAAAGTAACAGTCGGCAATAATAGTTTTACAATATATTGATTGCATAGATAAGAGTCCACACACGCAAAGAAACAAAAAAAAAACTACTAGGATCTAAAGAAATATTCAAAACTAGGTGTGTGCCCGCGCTTCGCGCGGGGTTCATGTTTATGTTGAGTGTCTCTGTTTGACATCAGTGTTGATATGTGTTTCCTTCTGAAGGTTAGTAGTGTGTGTAATTCCTGTGAGTGGGAGGCGTCAGTGCGTAAGGTTTAATTTGTATTGCTATGGATTGTAGTGAAGGGAGTGATGATGTAACGGTGACCTTTACGCAATTTTATTTTGATAATATGGTCAAGTTATATTATAGTTTTAGTATGGTTGACAAAATGCATATGAAATTTTGTGTAGAATAATTCTTAATGCCTCACCAACATTGTTGAGCTTGCCGGGTTTAGAGATGCTCGACTGGCATACTGGCATATGAAGATGCTACTTTTCCCTGAGAGGTAACCTTAAGAAGCATGTTAAATCATATGTTTTAAATTATTGATATAACAGCCAAATTATCATTGTAAAGATGCTCCAACTTTTGAATATCAATATAATAGCTTGGAATACCGAAGTTAAAATGTGTAAATCGTTGAGAATGACTTGAGTTAACAGACGACTAAAACCAAAGTTCTAGACTTAGAAAAAGCAAACACTAACAGCTCCAAATAAATTACTGGGTTGGAAATTGAAACGTAAAAAGTTATTATTGTCTTCATAAAGTGCATCTGGCCATTACCTCCACCAATGTAGTGATTCAATGGTCTAAACGCAGCCGTTGTGTATATCATGTTTTTTTTTGGACAAATCATGTCTTTCATATCTGAGTCGACACTATCAGACAAAGAAGTTGAATCTTGGAAACTGATATCTGAAGAACCAACTCTTTCTTTCTCCGCTCTTGGTTTTTTAGACTTCCATTGATTATCATCGTCATTGAGCTTGAAACTTCCTTTCTTAGAATCATCTTGAGGATGGTGAACAATAAGGGAGTGACATTAAGCTCATTTTATCCCCATATCAATCTGATCCTTAATGCTCCATGGTTTTGCTCTCTCGAGTCATTCCAAACACAGCCCTGAGAAAACCAACAAAGCCAATGTGAGACACGGAGCCAGTTTTTCAAAGAGAAATGATAATTTCATGGAACTTAACTCCAGCTATATTCATGCTCATATTGAATAATTAGAAATAACAGTAAATCGCGTTCTGGATTAAACGAATATTATAGCATAAACATGAAACGATAACAAAAGATCTCATCACAAAAGTTGGTTTTAAGTGTAAGAATCAAACACTGAAACTTAAAACTAAAAGCTTAACAACTCTTCATGAAACAATGATCATGTGCAAAAAACTGATATAAGATCTTACCATCAAGCCTTTCCACTGCTTTGTGTGCTTCATGTTTCAACTTAAAGCGAACAATTCAAAACCATGCGAATCACCAGTCTTAAAACGACAAAACACTAAGCATCAAAGAAGAGAAACAACAACTGATTCAATTACAAAGACATGCGACCATAGTTTATCACTAACCTTCAATTTCTGGGAATAAAGATTCCACAACCTTTCCATACTTTGCGAATAGGGGATAAAGATCATCTGCAGTCATACCTACACAACATAAAACAAAACCCTAAATATCTGTAAGACGAAGAACTGATGAATATTATGAAAAGGAAACTCACATATTTATAGTTGAATTCACACAATGGGATTAATGAGGCCATGTACTGAATGAGACATCGTGGGAGGAGTGGAGAATTGGTGTTAATGTGAGTCTTAATGATGAAGCTTCAATGCGGTCGACTTACGTAACGGTGCCGGGTTTCATTGCCAGTGAAACAACTTCAATCAATTAGTCACAGACGGCGGCCTCCAACGGCGGTCGGAGTTAGATGTTCTCCGTGATGGTTGGAATAACAGGAGATGTTATGCGGAGGCGACTCCAACGGTGTTTTAAACCAGCCGCAGAAGATGATTTTCTTTAGTGGGCTATGGTGTTCATCTGTGATATTGGGCCGAGTTTCTTAATTCTTATGTGACCCAATTCTAGACTCATTACTTGAGTCGAAACTCTGACCGGTTGTTAGACTAAATACGTGGCAGAATTTGCAAGAGACAAAAGTACATACAATTGTTTGGTATGGTTTAGCAATCGTTTGAGTTGGGTCACGAATTGTTCGAGAGGCCCAATAGTACATTCAATTGTTTGGTATGAAAAAAAAATATTGGCCATTCAAAACTTGACACGTGTCCTTAAACCCCCACATCAAAAAAAGTGACGTGGCTGACTGTGGGGGCAGATAGGTGAACTTTATTATTATAGATAAGAAAGGTGTGTTAATGTCTTCGATTAACATTCTTTAACAAACAAAAAGATTAACATGGACTACGTGGTGTTAATAATGGAGAAATGCTGTGAACTTGGTAAGCAATGAATCAAATTAATCTTTGCGATTCTAATTATTAAAAATTATTAGATTAAACTTTTAATTAATAGTAGATGAGATGAAGGGAAGATTGGATATAATTTCAGCTAATTGTTGTGTGCAGTAGACGTAACCATCACACAAATGGAAGTTAGGCAAAGGTCAAAGTCAAACTCGTCCAAGCCTCTATATTCACATGCCCACATCTTCCAGTGTTCTATCTATTTACATCATCACTATTTGCAAAATACCTTCGTTCTTATCTTAAATTTCTTCTTCAAACTTTAGCATGACATCGTTTCTTTACTTCTCCTTAAAGAATCAAATTGCGATAGAGATGTTTTGGAAGTTAAAGAAAAAGTCATTTTATTGTAAGTTTGTGACAAATTTTTTTTTTTTCCAAATTGAGAGGTTCTTTGTGAAGATAAAGTAAGCGCCGTTTTAGTCTTCAAACAATTAGTCTTCTTTAATTATTACATAATTACTGTTCAAATTCATACACTCTAAAAATATACAATTAGATGAAACCGGAACAACAAAGCTTTGGTGTCTTCTCCGATATCGCAAATATTGATCGAGTCGTATCCAACAACATAGAAGCTTTTTAGTGCAAGTAATATGAATATGATTCGGATATTATTTTTTGAAACAAGTTTACCAAAAGTTTGAACATATTTCTATTGTTTTATCTCATCAAGTATCCAAAAGCTTTGACTACTCCCACTCCATGGTAAGACTTAATTATTACATTATTGTAAACACTTATCTTTCATAAATCCGAGTTTATCATACTAATCCTCCCCTCAACATGAAAATAAAAGGAGATATAACATGAGACAAGACTCTCTCTTATCTGCTAAATCCCAACATATAGTTTTACTCCAAAAAGTAAAAAGGACAAAAGATAAATATCTGGAAAAGGAAAAGTAACCACCAAAACCTGATGACTGTATAATAAGACAGAAGTACAATGCTGCTACAATATGATTTTGGCGTCGAAAACTGTAACACGACACCTAGTGCTAAGGTCTGAGTAGTGATGTCCCATTAAGAATCACTTTCAAGTTTCTAGGAAGTTAAAACAACAGTTGCAATTTCTAAGAATGAGGTAATTAACTAACACGTGCAGTTGCAACTTCAAGTTGATGTCAAATCATGAGAATAGATTTTTTGACAATTTTAGAAGATATTAAAATCCAATTCTAGTCTAAAACGTGTGTGTGTAAGTGTGATGTTTTTTTCTTTCTATATATGAGATAAGGTTGCACAAACATTGTAAGAATAACATAATCAAGTAAAAAAGGGAAATTACCTGTCAAGGTTTAACTTTTTCTGTCACTTACTTTTCTTGATGTAAATAAATAAACTCTCCATCAACTTTACTCCAGAGACTTTGCTGCACGCTGCTTAGCTAATAGCTACCTTACAACAGTTAATATTTATTTCTACAGAGTTCAGAGTTAGAAGGGTAAAGTGTCAGTGAACGTGTGGTCTCTTATGCGACAATGACAATACCAGACTACATGAGTCGATGAAACAGGAACAAAATATGAGTGTGTTTTAGAGTAAAATGGTCTTACTAGACCTAAAATGGTTTGAGTTTCCTCACATCATCTACTATGAACCGGTCTATGCACGTAAGACCGAGAAAACTATATATATATCTGACAAAGGGAATAAATCAGGACGTGTAGGGAATAAACCAATCATAGATTCACAATGAACACAGTGAATAAAAAATAATAATGGCTTCGCCCGGGTTCGAACCGGAGACCTTCAGTGTGTTAGACTGACGTGATAACCAACTACACCACGAAACCTTTGTTGTTTGAGGTTCCGTACCATAGAATATTACGTTAGCAAAGTAACTCTATTTCATTTGTTCTACTTGTTTGGATCAATAACAAAAACTGAGATGTTACCTGGTAAACAAGTAACTTACTAGTAGAAATAATGAATCTATTTAGATATTCTTACACCTTGGATCGGATTTGGATTCAAGTTTTTAGGTTCCGATCTCGGTTCCGGGTTTTTGGCCAAGCCTATTCCAACCATAAACCAACAAACAGCTCACTTGGAAAAATAATATGTACTTACAATTTTATAATCTTAGCCCTATAACATTTTAGGTCGAGATGTTTGAAAACATCTGTTGCATTCAAATCATCTCTCACAATCTGTAATTTTTTCTTGTTTGAATAATAATAATTACAAAGAAAACAATGAAAAGTCTCAATCGCCTTGGTTGAAGAGTTACACTAAGCTTTACTCTTTGCTGATTGTCCTGTGGGGTCATTTCCACCGTTTTCAAATGATATATCCATAGTTACTCCTTTCTTCGAAGAAGCTGCCTTCACGAATTCACCTACTGCTCGACCCCATTTCACCATAGCCGATGTCAGTTCCTTACTTTGTTCAAACGTTATCGCACCCGGATCACTCTTCTTCATCTCAACCAAAGCATCTCCCATTGTCACCAACCCATCAACCAGCTTAAACGGATCCTATTATCACCAAAGAAAAACCAAAAAAATGCTCACATAATGATCTATAACTAACCAACGTGGAATTGGTCTAGTGGTTAAGACTTTTAAATCATCAAGTAAAGTGTCTAAGAGAGTGAACACTTACTGATGATCCAGCTTTGGTACCATCTAATGGGGACAAAGCTAAAAAGAGGTGCATAGCTTGAGTCGTTATATCATTACTCTCTATTGAATACGTATCAGGTGAGACCGTCTTGAAGCTGGCCATGTAATTATTCAGCTTAACAAAGAACTCCTTAAACTCTTTGTTTGCAAGACACCTAGTTTCTAGGTCAAGTAAGAAGGTTTGCATGCCTTTGTAAGCGAATGTCTCAACATCTTTGCCCGTTTTGGGAATGTTTCTTAAATAGGCAGGTAACGAGAACGGTGATGTTGATTGACTAACGCTAGATTGTTTAGAAAGAGATGCATATGTAGGGTCGGTATAATCAATATCAAATTGTTCTAGATCGATTGGTTTTCCATTTATCTAGGAGACAGCCTTCACAAAAAGACCAATCCTTCCGACCCATTCGAACATGGAACCGGACAACCTCTCCCATTGTGGATTAGGCATTACATTTGAAGTGGTTTTCTTCATCTCAGTAGAAACTTTCTCCATTGAAACCAAGGCCTCGATTAACCTCCATGAATCAAACTGTCACAAAAGTACACACAAAACACACAATCTATTTTTTTATTAGAAACTGCAACTACAATAGAACCTCTATAAATTAATACTCAATAAAATTAATATACACTAAATATCTCTATAAAATAATATAATTTTGGTGTAGTCCCAACATAATTTATTTATACAGGTTTCACGGTAATTACTACCTCAATTCCTTAAAAATAAAATTTCAAGTATTTTACACATATTAAAAAATACATTAAATCTTCTATTATAAATTCATCATTTTTAACAGTTATCAATTATCAGTAACTTTTAACCCATAGTAATTCAATAACTTCAGTTAATTTTCTTAATTTTTAGAATTTCTGCATAGGAAACCTAAAACTTCTACATTTGTGAAACAAATTCTTTTTCCAAAATATCTATTTTAGTGGAACGAGTATGATTTAACCAATGATATATTAAATCTTTTTTGGATTATCTAAGGTTTTTATCCACTATGACAATTCATCGTTGGTTATGATAATATGACTGTTAATAACTAATGAATACTTACTGATCGTCCGGCTAGGGAACCCTTCAATGCAGAAATAGCCGTGAAGAGCTGGTCAGATTTGCCTGATCCGGGTGATGCCTGTTGAAAGCAACTCGTTATGTAACCTTTGAGATTTGTGAAGAAGTTCTTGAACTCTACGGTCGTGGGAGACTTTCCCTCCAAGACACCTACAAAATCTAGCAAACCTTTGGAAGCGTTATAAGGTGCAAACTCTTTGCCCGTTTTGGGAAAGAGAGCCAAATAATCGAGTAATGAGAACGTCTTCCCTTGAGCTTGAGCTTGAGCTTGAGCTTGAGCTTGAACTTGTGTTTTATATACTGTACATTGCTTAATGCAACAAGTAACACTAAACCTACTGCTAATGAGATTCTTCCCATTTTTTTCTAAGAGAAACTTAATTAATATAAACAAGAAAATATTTATTCTTATTATTTTTTTTTTTGTTTTTTTTTTATTGGATATGCTTCCTAAGAGAACTTGGTTAATATAGATGTTTAGAAGGTCAAAACAGAACTATATTTGAGGTGACTAATGGTTAATTTAAAACTTCTTTTTATTGATTTCAGCTTTTCTCTCTATCTATTCTGAGAAAATATCAATCTATTCATCAAACTATAAATTTGCACCAATTACGTATTTCCTATTAATCTCCACTTTTCTTTCAATCTATTTCTAGAAAGTATATCAATTTATTCATCAAGCTATAATTTTGCACCAATTATTTATTTTCTTTTCATTCTCCACTTTTCTCGCAATATATTTCTAGAAAGTATCAATTTATTCATCAAGCTATAGTAAATTTGCACCAATTACAGCAAACAACTACCATTCTGGTTAACCTGAGAATAAACACGATGAATCAAAATGTAACCACAGATATTCAGAGAGAAACTCTTTGCCTTTTCACGTATGGATTCTGTTTGTACTGAGAATGTCATGAAAAACAGCAGGTTTCTTGGTAACTGGAGCCAGCTCCTGAGATACACCATAATATATACAAAACAAATGTTTCAGTGACACCATTACATAGAGAATGAGAAAAAGAGAGTGTGTATGTGTGTACCTCAACAGCAGCAGCTAAAGAAAGAACAGTAGCTTCAGCCCAAGGTCTTCCCATTATTTGTAATCCTATTGGCATCCCTTCCTTATCATACCCAACCTTTTTCCATAATGTTCATTTTAAAGATAAAATGATTATTGCAAGAGAAGTGTAAGAACATGTTGTTCTTTCTGTTCATGTATGTACTACTTAGAGACTACTAATGATAAAAAAAAAAAACATTGCTTACAGGGACAGATATGGCCGGAAAGCCCAGGAGATTTCCAGCTACAACAAACCGCATTAGATAAGCTGAAAAATAAGCAATTTTGTTATCAGAAACTGAAAATTCCCATGCATATATTTAGTTTACACATGAATAAGACAGATACAGTAACACCAACAGTGAAAAAAGTGTTTTGTTTGACAAACCTGCCACTTGAAAATTGGTTTCTCCATTTTCCACAGCTTCAGGGGGTATCAGAGGAGCTGTCATACTGTTTTGTTCAAGACAACAGTTCACACCAAAATTCATATAGAACTAAACTTATTAAAAGACCTTGAAAGTAAAATGTTCTGTTCATGGAATGTTTTTTTGCTTACCCACATGTAGGTGTCACAATAACATCAACGTTCTTGAAAATGTCCAAGTGATACTCCATCAACCTTCTCCTGTAACAAATACAAGCAAGCAGCCACCATAGAGAGACTGGTTTGTATAAAAATTAAAAGGTTTATTGATTTACCTAAGACACTGAGCAGCAATATAATCTGAAGCAGAAAATGACTTGAAGATCGCAAAGCTAGTACGAGTATCATAAGATAACTTTGTTTTTTTCCTGCAAAGAGAGAATATTTTACTGCTGCTGAAATAAGAACAAAGGTTAAAGACATACCCAGCCTCACAATAAGGAGTAATAGAACACAGTGTTGCAGACCCTATAGAGACAACATGAGCTGCACGCATCTCTTCTAGTTCAGGAACCACTATTTCCACTACCTAGTACCATATAGAGATTTTAGATGAAACTACATAATTGATAGAGAAACATATTTAAATGATCAACTTACTTGGCAACCATCGTTGTTTGATAGAAGCTTAAGGATATCTTCACATTTGTCAGAGATTTCACTTGAATGAACATCATTAAACCACTGCATTTGATAAAAAAAAAACAATGCACTATATATATATATACAAGTGAAATAACAAAATCCAACTCAGTTAACTAGAATGGATAGAAAATAATTAATATATTTGGAATATTTTCTAAATATTCTATCTGCATCAGAAAATTACCTTTGTATATTGCCCTAGCCGTAGAGATCCTATAGCATTGCCTCCATATTGAGACACTAACTTGGGAAGACAGGGTGTTGTCTGCATAATCATTCCAAAGACCAAGTCATTACAGAAACATGTTACAAGAATATTTGTTATGGTCAAATGAATATATTGGAAGAAAATGTACCGGGTTCAAGTTAAGTCTATCTGCAGATGAAGACCCCAAGATTGCTGCATACCTTAAAAACATACAAAGGCAGATTAGCATAAAAAAAAAATATCAAGGTTTATCCGAAAATCAAACATTTGAAATGATATATGTATGTGTTGACTGCTTTACAAAGATGTCAATGATTGAAACAATATGGTCATTCACTAGGCTAATAAAAAAAAAGAAAAAAAAACTTACACTAAGAGAGCATCTTCTAGGGATGAAGCAACTGGACTAACAACTTCCACTGTTCCACCTGCACATAATGACCTGTAGAGATGAAAAGCCATACACATAAGTTCAGATGGTTGTTCTGTTTTCAGAATCTTGATTCTATTAGCTCTTACCCTGTCATATCTGTCCGGCCATATGTTGTTTTCAGTCCTGTTACACCACAAAGTGATGCAGGGATGCGAACAGAACCTGCATTTTCAGACACAAGTAAGCATACAAAGCAAGATCAAACAAATTAAACATAACTTTGATGATACCTCCACCATCTGTTCCTAGAGCAGCTGGACATAGTCCAGCTGCAACAATGGCTGCTGAACCTGAAGAAGATCCTCCTGTGTACCTTTCAGGTGCATGTGGGTTTCTTGTTGTTCTACAAGAAAAAAACATTGAACTAACAAAACAGTTCACAAGTAAGTTTTGTGTTCTGTTCTGTGTTACTTACCCATAATTTGAATTGTTCCCTGAAGTCCCCATGCCTAACTCATGCATATTAGCCTTACCAAGTAAGATTGCACCACAACTACGAAGTCTTGAAACAACCACTGAATCTTTCTCCACAGAACGAGCTTCATGCAGCCATGTTGTTCCACCTATAAATGCAAAATCCTATGAAAATTCTGTTGTAGCTGTAATTTTTTTTAAATGAAACATACTTACCGGTTGTGGTATGTGGTAAACAGTCAATATCATCCTTGATTGTTACAAAAACTCCATCTAAAACTGATATTGGATGTCCTACACATCTCACACTCAACAATAATCAATACATATCTATACAATAGATCTCTGAGTCTGCAAAGTTACCTTCTTCAAACCTCTGTGTAGAAGCTTTAGCTTGTTTTCTAACGTCATTAGCATCAAAGGTAATCAAAAACGGTGTTGGAGATTTGTCATACCTAAACTCCTCAATGATTGAGATTATTTTTTCTGCCACCTAGCAATCATCAACAAGTTTCTTTAACATGTGCCAAAATATTAAAAAAAAGAAAGATAATTAAGATGAAAAGCTAGCCAACCACAGATGGAGTTGTGAGCTTAGATCTATAAGCATATGCATAATCACGTATCTTCCAGTAACGAAAAGATGAGCTTGAATCTGCATTGAAGCTAAGAGAAGGATCATATTGAGGAAGACACTTCAAGGCTGTTTCTAATCTGTTTACAGGGCTTTCATCTTCTCCAACAAGGACAACATCAAGCTCCGGTTCTAAGTTCAAAACAATAATATGTTTATATGTGATGGTTACAGAGTTTTCCATGTAAAAGTATAAAACAAATAGAATATACTTTGAGATGGGAAGACAGGTCTAAACATGGGCTCTTCTGGTATAACTGTGTTGCGAAAAATCTACAAGTCACAAGCACATAAGTATACTTATTCAATGATTATAAAGTGAGTCTTATTAAAAAAAAAACAGACCTGGGTCATGCCGTTATTCTTCTTTAACGACTCTACAATCACTGAGCCTATAAGTGGTGTTTCAAGCATCTTAACGAACAACTTGAACAAAAAGCCAGTCAAATGAGGAGCTACAAAATTACAAAAAAAAAAAAAAAAACATGTAAATAGAAAGTACATGGACATAAGTTATAACCACATGTGTCTGAAACTCATGTAACGTATAGAACAAGATCAGCCTTGTAATATAAACGAACCTTTGATGTCTTCTTCTTTGTATTTGACACTAGAGACATCAACCTCGTTAACCGGTTTCATGACCTTATACTTACCCATCTTATCAAACAAGAAATAAAGAACGTTAAGTTTGTGTTGATGTAGTAGATAAGATCACACATCAGAAGATTCAGACAACAAGAATGGCTATGGAAGATATTAGATTGCAAAAGTCAAGAACCTGAGATCTGATTTGGCGGTGATTAGTTAAGGAAGCTGACACAGATTTGAAGAGACCGTGCGGATGACCGGTGAGGTTGTTGGAAAACTTGAATGGTTGCTTGTACCAGATTTGTATATTGAAACTTGTCACGAATTTGCTGAACTAGTCTAACGATATTCTCTTATTGACATAACGGTCCCCTTTATCGTGTAAATTTTTACTTTTGTCCTTCTAATTGTTTTTTTTCATACTTCCCGTCCAAGTCACACATTTCTACTATATAACCAACTGGGAATTTTACTTATTCAAAACTCATAAATAATGCGCCTATCTAGTATATCAAAAGTCAAATGAAAAGTTTTGGCTGAAATTTATTGGTTGTTAGACTATATGCATATATGCCATAATATTGTTGGTTGACATAATCAACCAAAGATCATGAGATACGACGTGATCTAGCAACATCATTTACGACTAGTCAGCCCATATAGCAGATGGATATTCTAATTTAAAGAAGACATTGGCATAGGATGCAAAAAAAATATTAAAACAAAACTTTTGACTGCTCTCAAATATGTTTTGGAATTGTGAACATAGTGTTTATAAGAAAAAAAAGATTAAGATAGTTCAAAGATAAAAGAAAATTGTTCTATAACATCATGATTACAGCTTAGGCATGCTGGTGAGATACGTCTGATATAAGTTAGAATAATTACAACAGTTTAACCACTTATATAATAAGTTGCAAGTTGGCAATATATGTGGTATAATAAGAACAAGCAAGTGAGAAGTTGAACACACAGTGACAATGTTTAGATATCTTCTTTTTGTTAAGTAAATGTTAAGTTTTTTCCCCTTTGGTATTGCATAGATTGGAATTGACCCTTTTACAATGATCATTTAGATGTTGCAAAAAAAAAACAATTATCATCTAGATAAGACAAAGAGTAGTATTAAGAATATATACATTGTTTTAAGATTTTCAATATTTCTTAATTTGAAAAAAAGGAATAAGAATCTGATTAACTTGAAACCATATCAAAACAAATCTAACTCAACTAAATCTAATCCATAAAAAAAGAAAGAATCCAATAATCTAAACTATAAACACAACAAAACCAAGACTAATGGGGCTAAAGATGTGGTATACTAAGAACAAACAAGTGAGAAGGTGAATATACAGTGATTATGTTAAAATATCATGCCATTTTGTCAAGTAGATGTTAAGTTTTTTTTTCCCTTGGTATTTTCATAGATTGGTGATCAAAAGATGAGTATTTCCCCTTGTAAATTGAGATGAAAAATAGAACAACAAACATTGAAAAAAAAATAGAACAATTAACATTATGATTTGGTTTAGGATTTTCAGTCTCTCTTGTTTGTTACTTCTAATCTGAGTTTGTTTATTATAATTGAAAATAAGGGAATAAAAATCTTTCAGCTAGAAACCATATCAAAACAAATCTACCTCAACTAAAATTCTACTCCAAAAAAGAATCCAATAACCTAACTATAAAACACAACAAAAGTAAGACTAATGAGGATAAAGATGAAGGACAATGACCTAATTATTAAGATTTTTCATATCTTCTTCTACAAATCTTACTTTATGAATTAGAATATTAAACCTTAAATAGTACTTAGTACTTGTTAATAAAATACAACTTTAGTGATATAACTTCTTTATTAAAAAAAAGAAAAGCTGGTTCTTCTCCAACGTAGAAGTATCAAACACTACTAGTTTACCTGGACCCAGCCTAGAGTTCCAAAAAGTCATACTAATCCATGAGGTAACGTCACAAGACAGTCACACACATCAACTCCTCAAAACTCATAATAAATCTGACAAACCACGTGTAATAGATCAATAAGTTCACGTACCACACAGGTCCTGTCATATTATCATTTTCCAACACCACCACCACCACCACCGTTTCACCCATCATATCATAAATAAAAACCATATCAAAAAAATCTTTTAAGACACAACACACTAAAACATGGAGAAACTCTCTTACAACAACTCCTATCCAGACTCAACCGACTCATCTCCTCGATCTCGTGAGATCGATTTTGACAATCCTCCGCCATGGGACGATCACAACAACCACTACAAAGTGAGGTTCATGTGTAGCTACGGCGGCAAGATTCAGCCACGTCCTCATGATAACCAGCTAACTTACGTCAACGGAGAGACCAAGATTCTCTCCGTTGATCGCGGGATTAGATTCCCGGTTTTAGCCTCCAAACTCTCCGCTGTGTGCGGAGATGTTGGAGGCGGAGATGTTTTGTTTAAGTATCAGCTTCCGGGGGAGGATCTAGACGCGTTGATATCTGTGACCAACGATGATGATCTTGAGCATATGATGCATGAGTATGATCGTTTGGTTCGTGTGTCGGCTAAACCGGCTAGGATGCGTTTGTTTCTTTTTCCGGTTAGTTCTGGTGGGTTTGGATCGGAGGGTTCTAGTCACTCGGATCGTGATCGGTTCGTTGAGGCGTTGAATACGGTTCGTAACCGGTCTGAACCGGAGAAAGGTGTGACGGAGAAAATTGCGGCTCCGCCGCCACATGAGGTGAAAGTACCGGTTCCGGTGGTGGTGGAGCCTCCGGTTCACCGGGTGGAGATGGAAAGACAAGTGCATGAGTTTCAGAGGATGCAGATTAGGGATCAAGAAGCTGGTTTAATGGAAACCGGAGGATACTTATCTCCGCCGTACTCCACCGCGCAACCACCACCGCCGCCGCAGCAGATGAGTCTTCAAACCAATACACAAGCTCCTCCTATGCCTTACTGGCAAGGAAACAATTCTAATCCAGGAGGTCTGTATCCAACAACTGCTCCGGGAATCCCGGAGCAGCCTGTATACATGGTTCCAGCTCCAACTCCAACTCCACATCCAGGAACTGTATACCACGCGCCGCAAGGCGTCATGAGACCAGGACAAGGAAACCAAGGTGGTTACTACCCTCAGGTACAGAGGATACCTTCAGATACTTATAGAGAACAGAACCAACCTGCCTATAACAACATAGCTCAGCCACAAGTAGGAGCAAGGGCACCACAACAACAACAACCTCCTCCTCCGCAGCCTTTTACCTCAGGTCCTCTTCCTCCTCCTCAGCCGCAATACTCTGCAGCTCCACCGCTAAGGCAAGTGGTGGGATTACCAGATACAACGGCGTATACTCAGGTGAATTACGCAGGAGGAATGGGGAAACAAGTGTACTACACGGAGGCACCACCTCCACAGTACCATGGAGGAGTTGGTTTACCTGTTAATGGTATGAGTGAAGTGAGAACCGGACCAGATGGGAGGCCTGTTGTAATGAATGTGTCACCAAAAGTTTCATCACAGAGTTCAGATTCAGCAATGTGATATGAGGTATTATTGTTTAAACCAAGTTTCATCATCATCATCATATAGTAGTGTAATTGAGTTTACTTTGGTATTTGATTGTCTGATAAATAATGTTCATCTTTTGTTATAATCTTTATGATGTTCTTGATTCTGCAATTTCTATATAACTTTTTGTCTTATTTTCATGAACCTTTGTCTCTTGTGCATGCACTTTTTCATTTCTTTTGTTTTTGCTCATGTCAACTAAAAATAAAACATATCGGTTGTACAAGAGAAGAACTAATGTAAAAATGAATCATATTTTGTGGAAGATCAACATCTGAAACTCAATAATTGAACTAGAGAAATAACGATTTTAAAAAGTTATCTCGTATATGATTGGATTTGTTTAGTTGAGTGGTGTTATACTAGTAGACTAGTAGTAGTAGATAAATATCATGAATGGTCCACACGGAAACAAACCTTATTCTAGAGACAGGTGTTGTGTGAAAGGATGTTAACAGGTTTGAACTTTTGAAAATCTTTGGAAGAATAGAGACAGCTTTTACTAACTCACTTATCGCCATTGTCGTCAACCCATTCGCTCCAAAATTTCTTCAGTAAACGACAATCATATTTGTATGTATCATATAATCATATCACTGAAAGCATATATCAATCAAAACAAAAAAAGCCTAAAGATATTCAAAACAGGTGTGTTACATACTTACATGTATTTTGTTTCCTGTCATAATCAGAGAGAGTAAGACCATCACACCAGTAAACACCTAACAACTACCTTCGCCGCATCTCAAGAATCGTTTGGTAGTTAGGTGGAGAAAAACACTTCATGATCGCTCTTGTAGCATGGTACAATTCTTACTAGATTAAGAACAAACATATACCAAATCCATGTGTGATGTATAATATAAACCAACAAAGAAAAATCTAAACAAAAATGTTGAGTTATCAATAATCAAACATCTATTGAACAAAGAGACTAACATCTTTTGGTAACTAATGTAGAGATTCATCAAAAACTATTCTTGGAATCAAAGTACCTAACATGGACACTCCTAAACACATCCAAGACCATCTCCAGCTCACTTTCTTCGAATTCTCTCGAGTCGATTATCTTCAAAACCCAATAAGTAGAGTTCTGAGCAAGGTTAGATATCATCTTGTGCCTGTTCCACGCAGCTGACTGCTTCTTCTTGGATGGATCAACACCTGACTTCTTACTCTTGAATGGTTTTGCCGCAAGTTTGAGATTCTTACTCTCATGAACACAGACATATGATTACAAATTTCTATTATAATCAAATATAAGCTCATTTTAGCATCCAAGTATCAGAAACTTCAAGTAAAGGAAATACAATATTGTTTTCTGCTTGTGGCTAGCTTATTACCTGCTCAATGGAAGATCTCATTGGAGCTGAAGAATGAGGCAAGAGAGAAACTAACGTGTCCACAAGGACATCCATAACCGCTGGTTCGTCTTCTTCACCATCAGCCTCACCTTCACTATCACTTTCCGAATGATCAAGAGAGGAACTAAAAGCTTTGTCACAGCATACTGAAAGCTCACTTGCTCACTTGCAGCTTCAGAGAACTCTCCCGGATGGAGGAATATTTGAAGCAAAAGCTGAACCACTAAATGCCTCATTGCATGATACTTATTTGCATCAGCAGATAATCCACAGTTCCTTTCCTGCAAAATAGTAATTATTTCAATTTAACATTTTATTAACAGTAGCATTAAAGCAAAGCCAGTAAGAGACATTTTACCTCGTTTGAGAGTTTACTTTCTGTTTCTTGTAATTCTTTGACAGCCTTTTCATCAGCTTCATTCTTGTAATTATTTTGTAAAGAGATGTAAATTTACAAAATAGATAACCGGGATTTGGTAAAGTACATGGGTAGGTTTCTGTTAGAGATTAGGCTGGGTCAGTAAAACACATACGTTGTTCTGGTTCAGTTTTTGTTATTGGGTTAATCCGGGCTTAATTAGAGCCTTTTGCAAAAACTCACAGTTTTCTCTTTAGCTTACTCATTTTAGTTAATGTATTGGGTTAGGCCTTTTGCAAACTCACAATTTTCTCTTTAGCTTACACTTTTTAATTAATGTTGAACACTGAATCTAACATGTATATTTTCTTTTTTCTTGTTTTCCCTGATGCAAAGATAAAGATTGTCACGTAGATAATTCACTTGTTTTGTTTCGTTTATTTTCAATATATATAGCTTACAATATATAGCTTACATACTTGTCTATGAATATATAATAATTTCTTTTGTAATTTTGTAATGAAAACTTATCACATTGGAAAGTCAACAAAATAGATTTATGAGATAAGAATAAAGAAAATGAGAAACACTGTGGTTGATTTGTGTGTTTATATTTTCGCTCTTACGATAGATAATTCATAAACCTAAAACTTGTAGCATAATTTGTGAGAGACAAATACAATGTGAATGCTTGACTTTGACAATTCTTAATTTTTCTAAGATGACGACTATCAAGTATCAACATCAGAAAGGTTCCTTCAACTCTTTAATATTTTCTTTTTTGTTTGATTATAATCATCCAGTTCATAAACTAAAACATAAACTTTTCTTGATACGTCCAAGAATCAACTATAATTTTTAATTTTTTCTCTACTTAGGCCACTACAAGTTAAAAATTAAATTAAATTTTCATTGCTTAAACATCATATCACAACGATGCGTTGACTCATAAGAGCCAATTATATCTCTTATATAGACTAATTAAGATCCATTGTTATTTTAAGAAAAAAAAAAGAAGCAAATATCTTTATTTTATAAAGAGAGGTTGGTCACCTTGGTCTTATCAGTGTCACATAAAGATTCCTAGTCGTTACTGCTCTCTCTTTCTCTCATCCCTTTTCTCACTGACACACAACACACGTTGCTTCCCTCTTCACCGGAATGGCCACCCCCGACGAATCTTACGACGACGACGTATCACCTATTGAAGAAGTCCGTTTAACGGTAACAAACACTGATGATCATACACTTCCGGTTTGGACGTTTAGGATGTGGTTCTTGGGTCTAATCTCATGTGCCCTTCTCTCTTTCCTTAACCAATTCTTCTCGTACCGAACCGAACCGCTTGTAATCACTCAAATCACAGTTCAAGTCGCTACACTCCCCATAGGTCATTTCTTGGCCAAGGTGCTTCCCAAAACTCGGTTTGGGATACCGGGATTTGGATCAACCCGGTTCTCGTTGAACCCAGGTCCGTTTAACATGAAGGAGCATGTGTTGATATCGATTTTTGCTAATGCGGGTAGTGCGTTCGGATCCGGGTCAGCTTATGCGGTTGGTATCGTCACAATAATTAAAGCTTTTTATCACAAGAACATCTCTTTCATTGCCGGCTGGCTCCTCATCATCACTACTCAGGTATTATATTCCTAAATAATAATCATTTTTGCTCAAGTTGTTATATATTTTATAATAAATAAAACTATACTGAAAACGTAACTAAATAAGTAACAAGTTGAAAAAAAAATCACGTAAAATTGAAGAAAGTTACGTCGATCATGTTCATATTTGTTACAAAATGATAGGTATTGGGTTATGGGTGGGCCGGTTTACTAAGGAAATACGTGGTCGAACCGGCTCACATGTGGTGGCCTAGCACTCTGGTTCAAGTCTCACTGTTTCGGTGAGTATTCTATTCTTAAATTAACTACTAATTGTTTCTCCTTTTCTAACAAAGCTACATAATTATATTGTAAGATACTAAGATTAGCATCAATCTGCGGGAGGAAAGCAACTTTACAATTACTTTTCTAGATTTTAATTTTAAACACAAAGTAAACACACGATTTATTCTTTGTATTAGTGTGTGTATCGAATAATAGTATAAATACAAGCTTATCTTATAACTCTTTTCCCCAAAAACAGCATCTCGTATAAAATAATCTAATTATAAATAACCAAAAATTATCGTATAGGAAGATTTTGGTTGTAGGGGATAAAACCATCGGCAATGGCGGATCTTTACGGAGAATTCTTAGAGAAATATTAATTTTATTATCAATGGATCTCATAAATAGTTAAAAATTTTATTTTAAAAATTCTTATGTAAGGATTGATTCTTATACTATTCATGGGTTCCACTGCACACGTGGCGATCCGTGAGTGGTCAGTTTTTTTTTAAAGAAAAAATCTGAAATATCCTTATATAATCCAAAATACCCTTTTTTATTTTTTCTTAATGATTCTTCCTAAGGATCCGCCATTGCGGATGCTCTAATATACTCAATTACCCTACACTAGAATGGACACTAGCTAAACTTATGGGTCCACGCTTGTGGGCTGCAAGCAGAACAAGAATACAGTGAATAAGTATGAATACACGTGAGTCAAAGTGGTAGACGTGGCGGTCTTTTAACGTATACGTAAGTATGAACTTACTTATCTATCCACTCGGTGGTCCACACTCCACAAATTGAATTTCATATTTTCACATTTCGTGATCATGTTTGATGCAATAATGAAATCAGATACTACATATTTTACTATTTTGAAAATAAGTCATTTTATATCTGAGATCTTATGTAGAAAAGCATACACACGTTATCGTCTTAACTGAGCTTTTGAATTTATTAAAATAATAATAAATGTGGTTAATACTCCAATCCATGGCTGTGGTGGAGGTTGCACATGGTGGGTCTATGCATATTTACTGTTCAACATATAATTAATGAGAGATTACAGAGTTATTAGATGTTATCTAATTATAACGTAGACAGCTTAAATACACGTTTGGATCTTATAAGTCACAGAATGGTTTTGCTGCAAAGAGTCAAGATCCATTAAATGCGAAAATAGTATAATCTAATTATAAATTTAGAAGACAGTTTCGTTGTAGACTTCTAAAATAAGTATAGTTTACCAGTTACCACCGCTATATATCTTATCTTATATATATTAAAAGAGAAGTTATGACTTCACTTCATGTGTAATATTTTAAAATGGACCATCTAATAGAATTTATGATATTACATTATTCAATCATTAATAACATTTATTATATTTACTAATAACATTTATTGGGTTTACTAAAAATTTTTATTGGGCTAATAAAAATTAGATGATCCATTGGATTTATAGATATTATAATAAAATACATGTTGAAATTAAACTTATATAATTTAATATTGTAATAGTATAAGTTAATATTTATATATTTTTATGTTAACTTTAAAAATTATATAGTTTATTTTTAAAAATAATAAAATCATCATTTTCTAACAATAATTAATCATCATTTTCGATATACACACCTTATATAATATATATCAATTTAGAAGTAAACAAAGGTTTATATAAAAATAAATGAAAACAAATATCCGCGCAACCGCGCGGATTGAGATCTAGTTAATTGAATTAAAACTAGTATCACTAAATGAACATATATGCATACAAAGTAGGAAACATTTAATCTATCTACAAATTCTGTAATTAATAGATAGCACACGATAATAATTTCTCAAACATTGTTTTTATAACACCTCAGTGAAAAATCATAAATTTCTTGGTATACATATAACCACGATCATTATAATTATTACTTTTATGATCATCATCGTTCTGGTGATGATGTATTTGATCATTTGATGTCATAACTGGAAACAATTTTTTCAAGTGAATTCTGAAGTATGTAGTTGATTTGTTGAAAATCCACGTAGACTCATAATCATATAAATAAATACTTTGACTTTTACATGAAAAAACAACTTGCATGTAGGGCACTGCATGAGAAGGATGAGCAAAGAATGACGAGAGCAAAATTCTTTGTAATAGCATTAGTCTGCAGTTTCGGATGGTACATAGTCCCTGGCTACCTCTTCACAACACTCACAAGCATCTCATGGATTTGTTGGGCCTTTCCACGATCAGTCACTGCTCAACAGATTGGTTCAGGCATGAGAGGTCTCGGTCTTGGAGCCTTTACACTAGACTGGACTGCCGTTGCATCTTTCTTGTTCAGTCCACTCATTAGCCCCTTCTTCGCCATTGCTAATGTTTTCATCGGCTATGTTCTTTTGATCTACGTAGTGTTGCCTTTAGCTTATTGGGGGTTTGATTCTTACAACGCTACAAGGTTCCCTATATTTTCGTCACACTTGTTCACATCGGTTGGTCAGACGTACGACATCCCTGCGATCGTGGATGATAAGTTTGAGCTCGATTTAGCTAAGTATGAGCAACAAGGAAGGATTAACTTGAGCACCTTCTTTGCTATATCCTATGGGCTTGGTTTCGCTACCATTGCTTCTACACTCACTCATGTAGCTCTCTTCTACGGCAGGTAAATTAAAGGCATAACTATATATATAAGCATTATAACAAAATAATATTTTGCTAATATATGTAATTTTAACAGGGAAATTACCGAGAGGTTTCGAGTTTCTTACAAAGGCAAAGAGGATGTACATACTAGATTAATGAAGAGATATAAAGACATACCTTCATGGTGGTTCTACTCAATGCTGGCTGCAACACTTCTTATCTCTCTTGCGTTATGTGTTTTCTTGAACGATCAGGTTCAAATGCCTTGGTGGGGACTTGTGTTTGCAAGTGCCATGGCTTTCGTCTTCACACTTCCCATCAGTATCATAACCGCAACAACTAACCAAGTAAGCAATATTGACCAATTGATACATGTTCATTTTACTAACAAGAAGTTGGTTTAGTGGCTAATATGTTCTCATAAATAAAATTAATTTAACATGGGTTAAGACTAGTCATAGGAGCCCTAATCATTTAAAAATAATAATACACTGGTTCATTTTCTTTCATGTTTTAATTTGCAGACACCGGGGTTGAATATAATAACGGAGTATGCAATGGGAATCATTTACCCGGGAAGACCTATTGCAAATGTATGTTTCAAAGTCTATGGATACATGAGTATGGCACAAGCTGTCTCTTTCTTAAACGACTTCAAACTTGGTCACTACATGAAGATCCCACCAAGATCAATGTTCTTGGTTCAATTCATCGGTACAATCCTCGCTGGAACAATCAACATAACGGTTGCATGGTGGCAACTAAACACTATAACCAACATATGTCAAGAAGAACTTCTACCACCCAACAGTCCATGGACATGTCCGGGCGACCGTGTTTTCTTCGATGCATCAGTCATTTGGGGATTAGTCGGACCAAAACGGATCTTTGGCTCTCAAGGAAACTACGCAGCCATGAACTGGTTTTTCCTAGGTGGTGCAATAGGACCGGTGATAGTGTGGTTATGTCACAAAGCGTTTCCAAAAAGTTCTTGGATTCCACTAGTGAACCTACCTGTTCTTCTAGGAGCAACGGCAATGATGCCACCAGCGACCGCGGTGAACTACAATTCATGGATCTTGGTCGGGACGATATTCAACTTGTTTGTGTTCCGGTACAGGAAAAGTTGGTGGCAAAGGTATAACTACGTGTTGTCAGCTGCGATGGACGCTGGTGTAGCGTTCATGGCGGTTTTGTTGTACTTCACGGTGGGGATGGAGGAGAAGAGTTTGGATTGGTGGGGAACAAGAGGTGAACATTGTGATCTAGCTAGGTGTCCAACCGCTAGAGGAGTGATTGTTGATGGTTGTCCGGTTGTATGATCTTATATGTTTCATTGGTGTGTTAAAGAAAATTAATGTATTATATTTTCAACCAAAAAAAGAAAATGTATCTTATTATATAAAGCTTAGTTTTCAAAGTTACTAATTAACATGATTGTGACATGTGGCAATTACATATCTAAGATTATGACATATGTTAAATCATAATTTTTCTTTTTTTTACTTAAATACTTAATCTAAACGAATTTACTTTTTTCTTACAATTTTTCTTCTTAAAAATACACTTAAACTAAACAAATTTAAATCATAACTTTCATTTTTACAAGGATTCACGTCTACATCCCCATAAGTTTTACATAGGACTCACGCCATACATATTTTTATAAGGAAGTAAAATTTATTTAAAAAGGAAAGTTATGATTTAAATTTGTTTAGTTTAAGTGTATTTTTAAGAAGGAAAATTGTAAGAAAAAAAATAATTTCGTTTAGATTAAGTATTTAAGTAAAAAAAAGGAAAATTATGATTTAACATATGTCATAATCTTAGATTTGTAATTGCCACATGTCACAATCATGTTAAAATAAAAATCTTTTTGATGATTGTTTCTTTTTCATGTCTATTAAAACATGTACTAATACAATATATTTTCATAAAAGATTATTCATACAATCGAGATTTTAAAACATACTTTTTATAAAACACATATATTTTTGTGGCTACAAGAATCAAAACAGGATAAAATTTCATAAGGTATTAATAGTTTTATTACCTCTAAATTAGATGATAAAATGCTGATATATAATGTTTTCTATTACCTATACAACTAAGATTATTTGCAATTCACTTATAGATTCATCTATAAATTTTGTTCTAAAATAGAGAAATTC